TTTTATATATTTAATTTACACGTGTTAACACCTGATTGGTAAAAATGAGTTTTAATTTTAAATTTTATTAAGAAAAATTATTAATTACACATTTATTTTTCTTGAAACAATTATCAATTACTAAGTTGGTCTCATGTAAGAAGAGATGGCAATTGTGTTGCTCATGCTCTAGCTAGGCTTGTTCCTTTTGGGGTTGAACAAATCTGGGAAAACTCATACCCAGAATCTGTTGCACCCTATGTACTTATGGACTCTTTGTCTCTTTAAGTATTCCTTGCTAGCTTGCTTTCAAAAAAAAATTAACATTTAACTAACAATAAAACTAAATTTTTCTAAAAATAATTAAAATAAAAACTAACTAATTTAAAAATAAGTAAAAAGAAAAGTAAAAAAAATCCACCTCCACCACTACCACCACCAGCAGCCCCAGCCATCCCTTGCCCGACGACCGGCCACGTCGGCACCCAGCTTCACCATTTCCATCGTCAGCCAGCCCACTTCCTCCCTTTCCCCCTTACCTTGCGCCCACGGCCATAATTGTCGCTGCCCGAGCTCCCCTGCAAACGCACCAATTCATGCCGCTTCTAATCGCACAGCATCGCAGCTCCAACGCTAGCATCATAGCAACAACTAGCACGCGTACTCCTCGCAACCCCCAAGGGAGGGGAACTATTCGTGGTGGCGGGGAAGGGAGGGGGTGGGGTTTAAGGGGTTAGGGTTTAGCTGGGTGGTCGCGCGGTGGGGAAAGGGGGGTCGGGGTAAGGGGAGAAGGGAGGGGGTAGGTTAGCCGCCTGCGTTGGAGGTTGGGGTGGCCGGGAGCCGGCATGGCCGGTCGCCGGCAGGGGTGGCGGTGGGGAGGGTGGTATGGCTGGTGGGTTTTTTTAGTTAATTAAATAAAATTTAGATTTTTTCTTTAATTTCCTTTAATTTTTTATTTTATTTATTTTATCTTTATTTTTTTTGAACCAGTCAATTGCTGACACGTGTCAGGTAACTTGTAAAAACAAGTTAGATAACCGGTTGGGTCCATTAGAAGCAAATTCACATTAAAGTTCGGATTATTAAAAAAAAATCCAAAGTTGCGATTATTTTGGGCGAATGAGGCAAAGTTGAGATTATTCTTGTCAATTTTTCCTAAACGATTGTGATAAACAAAGTGAAGCAAGATTATATTACGTTATAGGCACAATCTAGTAACATCATCAACACCCACAACCGAATCCCTAACACCTGTCCCATCACCCACACCCTCATTTGGCACATGCCCTGCATGTTGATGATGCTATGCCTCAGTTTCATTTGTTGAAATGTCCATTTTTATTTTTTCAATTAGCATTAAAAATTCTTCTCGCCTTCTTTCTGCCGCTTGCTGTTGATATAAAGCCTCAAAAAACACCCTTGAAGACAAGACAAATAGTGTTGCAAACCGACCAATTGAACATTGACTAGAGTTGTAGAAGATGAGGCACCATCTTTGTTAGCCATTTTAGAGGATGAAGTAGGACATTGTTTTGAACAGTGAGAGAAAGCGTCTGTAGAGAATAATGTTTAAAGATGAAGTTGAAGCATCATTAGGGTTCTTTAAATAGAGGACAAATCAATAGCTACCTATTCATCTTCCCCTTAGTTTTATTGGGAAGGTGCACGTCCCTACAATAAACTTTTAATGTTGAATTATTATATATATATATATATATATATATATATATATATATATAAATATATATATATTATTTGAAACGACACAACCTTTTTCTTTTTTTTATTTTTTTTAAAGGAACTTAATGGACACAATATGTATTCCACATGAAATTGTATACCCTTTTCTAAATTAGAAAAAAAAAATGTATACATATTTTGTTATCATTTTTATTTTAATTTTCTTATCACCAAAAATAAAATATTTTTAATGTTAAACAACATTTTGTACAATTTTTACTTTAATGGACCAAATAAAATGGTAGATTTCGTTTATAATATTATTTTATTATTTGTAAGTTATCTATTTTTAGTTTGATTTGTGTAACTAGTATTTAGAACTTAATGTTAGGATTACAGTGATTTCAATAAAAAAAAAACACTTAGAATATGTGTGGGAACAAATCCTAAATTATAATATTACAATATAAATTGTAAATATCAAATACAACACAATGTATTTGAATAAAGTATTATCAAATTCTAAAAAATTACAGAAAATTTTACTAAGATTACACTAGTGTGAAAAGATCAAACTTGCCTTTCCTCCAAAACGATGACAACAAGCATGAACATGAGAATAATAATGTCCCGTAAGACTCAATCCTTGATACATTGTCAAAGGTGTGTATACACTTTCCTAAAGAGGTTTATTTCCCCCACACGGTGCTTGGGTTAAACCGGAAATCCTCTTTGAGATACAATTGACAGCAAATTTCGTTCTTAGCACTAGAATCGAAATACAATGAACAATTCACAAAATTGGCTAAATTTCAAGAGTTTTTCTCACAAAAGTTTGCAAGAAGTTTGAGAGAAAATGTGGAAAATTCTTTTTTGGGAGAAAAGATCTTAAAATGTTCTGTCTATCTACTGTTCTAAAAAAAAAAATCCCTTTTATAAGAGAAATAACTGTTAGCAAAAACCGCAGAACTGGGAAGCAGCGCGGGCGCGCCTCCCAAAAAACCTACGAAAGATAACTTGAAGTCAGTGAGGGGTGCAGTTTTCACGCCACCAGGCTGCGCGGGCGCGCCACCCACATTCATCCAAAATGCTGATTTCTAGAGAGGTGCGCGGTTTAGGCGCGCTCTCATCGCGGCCGCGCCTACCTTGCACGGGCGTTCATAACATGGGCGCGAGCGCGCACCGTACAACACTCTAAATCATCAACACTTAAGTGCATTGTGTGTACATGTTGTGAACCATAAAGTAGGAGGTAATAGTAAAGTTATTTGTTTCTTTACTTATTTAAACGTATCAATTTCCTATTTGTTTGAATCATTACTAATTTTACAGTGATATTTATATATTATGGAATAGTAACAAATTCAATTTTACAGTGGCTTTTAAATATTATGTTATTGTAACAATGATATTGACATGGAGGAGTGACTTTGTTGGGTATTGACTACTACGAGTAAATATTATTGAGGCATCTATTTCGTAGCGTGTTAAATTGCATAAAATTTTTAGTTTTAATGTTGGTTATTTCATAGCATCATACGTTTATTTGCAGTATCAAGTTTTGATATATGGTATATAATTGACGAACTTCAAAGAATGTAAAATATGTATTAAAAAGGCGTAATAGATTATTATTATCGGAGAAATTCTAACAACGATAGAAACACCCATAGCAACTACAAAAAAAAAAAAAAAAAAAAAAAAAAACAGACTAAGATTAATTGACCCTTAAAGCTTAAAACAAACGACCCTTAAAGCGTAAAACAAACAAAGGTAAATTTAAACGCTTGCGATAAACAAAGTGAAGGAAGATTGTATAAAGTTCCATCTTCAACCCTTGATAAACCAACGCCTTTCTAATTTAAAAAAGGGTATACATTTTAATTCCACCATGTGTGTTAATTCTAATTCTGGGCATGAGTTGTAAATCCTCTTCTTCCTCATTCCACCATGTGTGTTAATGAGGTATTTGACCCCTATTGATAATGGCCGGTACCTCATTGACACACTCCAGTTGCAAATATCACAATCCATTAATTCTTCAAAGCAGTGATGTTTTACCCCACAAGTAGCTATGTTTTTTTTTTTGAAAACCCGAAAATTAAATTATGGACATGCTCTATATTTATTTTTTGAGAATATAATCGTTTGCGTTTTTTCATAATCATTAATTATGTATATCTTTTTATTATTTAAAATATTATACACTAGTTCTTATTTTGAATGAATCTAATAACTAAGTGGAATAGGCCATCGTAATTTTTTATAACACTAGTTTTAATTATTTTTTTCAACACTAGTAAGCATCATATTTTATTACTAAAAATTATAATTCAAATTTTGTAATACAGTAGTATTTTTTTAATAAAAAAATCATGATTATATATTTTGTTAATGATTATAAAGCATCATATAAAGTATAATGATTGTATAATCTAATTTCAATAATTAATTAATTTAATAATATTAAAAAAATATCATATAAAGTATAATGATTATATAATCTAAAGTCAATAATCTAATTAATTAATAAGATAAAAAGGCTTTACCACTTCTGATTCATATTCTCTAGAGATGCAAAGGGCTTTGATGAAATGATTGTGTTTAGTCAATTCCAAAAACTGGGTCAAGTTCAATTAATTAATGTATATACCGGTTCGTCTCCTATTCTTTATATAACGGTACGATTCCTTAATTTTGGAAATGATACTTTGAATTAATAATGTATTTTTTTTTGTCCAGAATTTTAATTTAAAAATTAGAAATTATAATTTTTTGATAAATTAGGTCGCCATTAGATATAGTTCATTACAACCCCTTTTTCATACTTCTCTACACCATATAATTTTATGTTCACCACGCATACTTTCTCCAACACAAATATGGAGGGAGACAAACCATATTATCTAGACCCACTACTAGAGAATCCGTCCTTTTAAGGTGCTTTTTAAGCTTTTTTTCAACGCTAAAAAGCGTCGAAAATATGTGAGTCGAGTAAATTAGACGTCATTATAAAGCGTCGCAAATCTCGACGCTATATGACGTCCAAATTTTTATACGAGCGTCGAAATTTGCAGTTTTTGGCGCACTTTCTAAGATTTATCGACGCTTTTTGTGTCAAAAACCTTAAAATTGGCGACGCTTTATTGTGTCCATAGTCTCATATACTAGATGCCTAATGTTTTGGCGACACGTTTTTCTGTCTATATTCTCATTGTTGGGGATACTATTTTTTTTGTCCAAATTCTTTACAAAAATATCTAGAATATAATTACCAAAAAAAATATTTCACACTAAAAATTTACTAGTATACTAGTATTACCAATATATACACAACAAAATTAGGCCAATTTATTTTTTATTTTATTTTTTTTATTGCATATAAATATGTTATAGTACATGTACAATATCTCATTGTAATGAGTTTTCTATTACAACAAATATAATTCCAACTTATATTTCATTCGTGACTAGTACGTAGTGGAACAAATCTGCTCATTTCTTCACAAATAAACTTCAGTCGATCTCCAATTAGCTGCTCCTTAATCTGCTTGCAAAGGGCGTAAAGCAAATTTCATACTGTGACGAATCACAGCACACCCTTTGATGTTTGTGGATCCTTCGGCAGGAACTAAGTGGTTTAGTGTGGCCTGGGAAGACAGACAACAACATCATCATGGACCAACAGCATCGGAAACAACATTATAGAGTAGCAACGCAAGGTGGAGCGACAAGAGTGTGATCAGCATCCTACAACAACAACAACAACATTAATCTTTCTATCTAATTTTGATGTTATAGGTGTTTAGAAGAAACAAGGATGTTGAGAAAATCTAGTTGAACAGTGGAGATGCATTACCATGACAATACGTGGGATATTCCACTCAGATATCCACACAACCATTTATATTTCACACTAATCTAGCTCAAACTGAGTCTTAAACTCATTAGTATGCAGAAACGCAACTTCAAAAAATAAAATACAAGGAAAAAAGAGCTAGAGAGCAAAAATGATAACATGTACAACTTTTAAATAGTTATAGCACAATATTACTACAAATTACAATATGCAAAATATCACAGTTTCAGCAAACTCAGATGAATAACATCAAGGCTAAGCCTAGTACTTAAAACTTGTTTGATAACTTCACTATTATTATGCCCGTAAAGAGAAGCCTTCATCGATTCACCAGTTGCACATTAATAAAAAAAATTAAAAACCAAAGGTCCAAGCAACAGATTACAGGTTACCTTATTAGGAAGGATCCCCCTCTTGAATCATTAGGCAAATATCTAGGTGGAAATCAACCTTGAATTGAAGAAGCACAAAAAAGTGATTGTGTTGGGAGCATCACATCAGTTTTGAGTAATTTAGGAACACTCATATACTACAAAAATGTGATTGTGTCGGTCAAATCACATCACTTTTTAGATGCACTATTGAACTCTACAAAAACATTTTGGAATATCTGGATACTAGCATAATCATGCCAGCTTGTAAGCTATAAGTTGTAAGTCAATTTAGTCACAGAGGGAAACTTAATATATACTCCACTTATGCTTTCTCTTCCTAATATAAGTTAATACTAAAATCTGTTTGAAAAAGGTAAAGCTCCCAAAAAAAATAGCACAAAGATCGAGCTCATGTACAAGAAATGCAATTTACCGTAGTTCTCAGCAAGGTAGAGTTTGTTGCCTGCAATTCTATGTAAGAATCTAGCCTCCGAGTTAGGAAAATCTTTAGGAATTGATATAGCAGAGTAATAATGTCGATCTCAAGTTGTAAATTTGATGGCATGTCTAGTAATTCACACTAACATAAAAAAATATGCATTCAATCATTTAAACTGATGATAGAAATTGAAATAGTAATATAAATACCAATTACTATGATTCGAAAAGAAACCACACCAAATACTTTAAGGAACTAACTAGAAGCCACCCTCTTCTTTTAGAATAAGGGTATTCAAACATAAGAAACTAGCAATACAAAAATAAAAAATAAAAAATAAAAAAAAACATTGTACCAAAGTATATCATCATCCAAGGCAATTAAAGTGACATAATGTTCATTTAAATAACTCAAAATTACACTAAGTAAGCTGAAAGTAGAAATTTTTTGCAACATAATGAAATGTTAAAACAGGAATAGACACTTATGCTTTAAAATGTTACCTACCCAGGAACGTAAATATCTCTAAATTTGACGAAATTAAACTATGGCTCTGGTATCTGCAAGAAACTCAGCATCAATGATAGTAGATTAACCAGAAGCATATAAAACAGTAATGAACAAATGCAAAACATACATTTCTTTTTAATGGAGAGAGGGAAGCTAGGGGGATAAGAGAGGGAAAGTTGCAGTTTCACACCTGAAACTTCAGTAGAGACACAAACTCATATCCGATTATGAGAAACATAAGTATATATGCTTATTTAAGAAATAAAATGGAGAAAATTACCAGCATTTTATACCAAAGACACCTCATATAATTTGTAATTTCCTCTTATAGCATTCTACATAGAATGTAACATAGAGTTGGTACAATAAAATATTAAGTAGCCAAAATAAAAGTCCAATGAATGGAATCCTCTATTTATTTCAAGTCTCCTAACCTCTCATGAATCAACAAATAAAAATTCTCTAATGCTGATGGTTTGATTTAAATTATATTTATTGTGAAAAATTCAGTCAAATTCACTATAAGAACTAGAATTCCAGAATTTAGAGAAGCTAAAAGGAATAAAAAATACAAATTTTTATCTAAACAACAGCAAAACACAACCACGAATTAATAAAAATTCAGAATAATAGGAAGATAGGGAGTGGCCTGGAAACAATTGGACCAAACAAGCACTCAAAACAAGCTGCATAGCTGACAAAAGCAATGCACATCAATATCACCAAAATTATGAAGCTGAGTATATTAGAATCTAACATTAAATCTGAATAATTTTGCAATATTAAAAAAAAAAAAAGGAGTGAAAAAACTAACATCAACTCATCAAGAACTCTTCATACCAAGAAAATGAGTTTATCTCAGTTAAGTTGAGAATGCACCAATAATAAATCACATCAAAGCAACAAAATAGCAATCAAAGTTTCATATTAAATTTATAAATTTCAATCGCAAAGAGAAACATGCATTTAGTAATTATTACTCTGCAAGAATGGAGTAACGAAAGCAATTGAAACAGTAATAATTTAACACTGACCCAGAATCATGTTAAACCTGGTATCATTAGCATTATCAAAATATATACCCCAATTATACTTAGTTTAAAATTTTAAAAACAACAATGAATTTAACATCAATTGAAACTGTAATTTGCAAAGATCTACTCTGTAGCATGTTAAATAGAGCCATATATTTACTTACTTGAACGAGATTTGGGAAAAAAATTTCAATTTGAGATAAATATCCATCTTATACTGGAAATTCAAATTGTGAGAAGAAAGAAAAATTAATTCACCTAAACATGGAATGAGTTGTATGTGGACCTTTGAGAAGAAAAAAATTGAGCATAAGAGAGATATAGAAGTAGGTAGAGAGAGAATTTACAGAGAGGCAGTTGAAAAAGATGATAATGCCAAATTGTTAATAACCCTAGAATTTGAACACGCGGGATCTAAGATAATATCACAAACAGGGCACGCGACTATAAGTAAGCTCTCTACGCGAAAAGTAGCCGACAGATTTTTATGATGCTTAAAAGCGTCGACAAAACACGCTAAAGTCCAAATTTACGTTGACGGTCTTCCCAAGCGATGATAGCGTCGAAAAAACAAGGTTTTTGTAGTAGTGACCAAGAGAAATTTTCCGACTGGGATATAATTTTTGAGACTCATATTTATCCTAAGATTAATGAGATTTTTTATCTACTAATTTGTTACGGCTTAATACAGAGTGGAACTATGTTGTTGGAAAGGAAAACGGATTAACGCAAACGTTGATGTGGATTGGATGCAGCTGGAAAATTATTGTTGTAAGAATATTTATGAGAGCTAGTCCTTGTGGAGGGGATGATACCCTTGATGACATGCAGCATTGTGAATCTTACAATTGGACAGTGCCATGGAGAGTCGAGGTTTTGAACTCAGGTACACTCGTGCAAACTTATGGTGGAATGATGAAGCGACGAGTATTCGATGTACGGGAGTATAAGCATTTTTTTTAAAGCGACGAGTATATAAGTGCCCTATTTTAAGGCAAGATGAATAGTTTCCAAATTAACATTAGGGAAATTTAACATGGTAATCCCCAATTTATGCTACCTATATTTGGTAACCCTCATTTTATTTTATTTACAAATTAAAATTCTATTATATCTTTTAACCTTAATGAGTGTTTTTACTTAAAATTTTGGTTAAAGACTAACTATGGTTAGATTTCATTTTAAAAAAACATCCTAAAAAACATTTTTCTTTATCCTCTTCCCCATCATAGTACTCCCTACAGCCACCTCCATCGTTCCCCCATCCTCTGGTGCGCCACCACCGCCAATACCACCCAGCTTATCCACTACCACACCAAACAAACAACAAAAACAATTGCAACAGCTTTGACCACATCAAGCAGCAATCAATTTCGAAGGCAAAACGAACCACATAAGCCCCAGTTCAATTTCGAAGGCGTGGGTGGTTGGGGAAGGATTTTCGAAGGGGTGAGTAGTTTTGGGTTGGATTTTTGAAGGGGTTAGGTGATGTGCGTTTGATTTCATAAAAGAGTGGATGGTGCCTGGTGAGGGTCGGATTTTCAAAGGGGGAGGACGGTTTTTTGGCCAGGTGGATGGGTTTTCAGTCGTGTGGTGGGCGGTTAATTAAAGTGAATTATATTTGGGGGTGGCTGGGGTAGTTTCTGAGGCCCATTGTTGGTTTACGATGGTGGATGGGTGGTTGTGGTGTTTGATGTGATGGTGGTGGAGGTTGTAAAGGGATGTGGGTAGAGAGCATAATAGTAATCTAATCATTAAAGTTAACCATGATTTGTATTTTAATAAAAATTAACCCAATAAGGTTATAAGATAGAATAAAATTTTAATTAAGGTCATTTTGTGAAATAAAATAAAAGAGGGGTTACCAAGAATAGGTAGCAAAAATTAAGGGTTATAATGTAGAATTTCCTTTAACGTTATCAATTTATCATATATATATATGTTATGAATCACTATCTATGTATATGTTATGAATCACTTTCTTATGCTATGTTATGAATCTTTATAGAAGTACTACTTTATTTTTTTTATTTTTTTTTTTATTGTAAGTTAAATTTCACAAAATTATTTATGCAGTATCATAATATATTATTAATAATCATTTTTCTTATTAAAATAACATTCCGATTATATTACCGTTAGGAAAATAGCTATGTTATGAATCTTTATAGAAGTACTACTTTATTTTTATTTTATTTTTTTTATTGTAAGTTAAATTTCACAAAATTATTTATGCAGTATCATAATATATTATTAATAATCATTTTTCTTATTAAAATAACATTCCGATTATATTACCGTTAGGAAAATTGTTATAACATGCCATAGTCGTGTTATAAAATACATTGGCACTGCGCATCATTTAAGCAAAAGATATTAGTAAATCACAAATACCTCTAATAGATAAAGCATGTAATATCGAACTATTCTTCGGTGAGATCAACAAATTCAACTTTCTTGAATAGCTTTGAACATATATCCTCATCATAAGTTAATTGGCTCAATCTTCACAACACAATCGTCTACTTCCGCTAGAGATATGATTCTTAATCCCTTGTCATTCACTGGAATGTTGTTGAAGTTGCCTTTGTGCATCATATAATAAAAAGCTCATCTTCATACATTTTCTCTATAAATGGGGAATGGCCACCAACACTAACTAACTTCCCCGTGTCAAGGAGGGCTATGTGATACAACACGTTCCTCATGAACAGTCGAAAGCTATGACTCTCCTTCATTCTTTGCATCTCTAATTGCTCGATCTTGCTTGGAGCTGGATAACATGAAGAAATTGTTAGTATTTTAAAAAGATAGATTGAATATAATGTTTTAATTTACGGATTATTTACCATATACCACTGAGTTATTTTTTTATTCATTATATAACCAATTTTTTTTTCTCAAATTCACCATATATACATAAGTTTTTAAAAATGTCATCAAATGCCCTTAATGACTAACGACAGTTAAGTCTGTTAGTCATTAACGTTAATCAGGACACGTGGCAACCTCTAATTAATTAGTTAATTTTTAAAATTATAGAATTAATTATTAAAATATAAAAAATAAAAAAAAAACCTTCTACTGCAACGGTGCCACCGTCCCTCCCCTTGCCGGTAGGGGTGGCAATTTGAGTTAGCAGGTCGGGTTCGGGTCAATTTCAGGTTGTACTTAGAAAACTATCAAAAATAGTATAACACTTAATATTATTACAAAATATGAAATTTGGGTCAAATCGGGTTGAATTCGGGTTGTTCTGGTTCTGTTCGGGTCGGGTTCGAGTTTCTCTCAGTAACTTCGGGTCGGGATATCGGGTCAGGTCAGGGATTGCCAGACCTACTCGCCGGCAACCGCCAGCCCATTCCGCTAGCCGGCGCCCGGCCAACCCATACCCGTCGCTGGCTGTCCGTGCTAGTGACTACCACCGCTACATCCCCACCCGTCCCCAAAGCCCCCATTAATTTTTCTCTCTCTTTTGGTACGAGCCCAGCCACATCCCCCGCTTCGGCGCCGACACCGACTTGCACCCTACCTTGTGACTGATGCCGCACACTGTTGTCTCTTCCTCGAAAACCCTGGCCGATCGAAAACCACAATTCAACACCCTAAAACCCCAACACCGAAACCCTAGATTTGGATTATAGGGTTTTTTAATTTGGGTTTCAGCGTGGTGGTTCAGGGGGTGGAGATGGCGGGGGAGGGGTGGTTTCGGTTTGCCGGCGCGGGGAGGGGTCTTGGATGCTGGTGGTGGGGATGGGAGGGCTTTTCGAGGGAGAGAGCAGGGTGTTTCGGGGTTTTCTGATGTCCTGCGGGAGAGTTACAATTCCGAGACTGGAACCTGGCGCCTGTACCTGCAAAACAAACGGATGCTCCGGATGATTGGAGATCCGCCTCCGACGGTCAAGTTAGTACTTGATTAAGGAGTAATTAATGCGGAAATTAAAGTGATTGGGTCTCTCTAGGTGAGAGAGTTTAATGTGTGTAATCTGCGTAATCTCCCTTAATGAGGATTAAGGGAGGTATTTATAACCTCGGGAAACGTGCCAATCTAGGTTTAGGTTAACCTTGGGCTGATTGGGCTTCCCACGGAAGTTGGGCCTAGGTGACCGGTTATCCCAGGTGTCATGGGAAGGACACGTGTTGTGTCGTAATTGGTCCATAGTGGACGGATCATTGCTTGACACGTGGCAGGCTCCTATTGGCCCATGTGACGGACACATGGCGGAACCTGATTGGTCCACTTGTCAGATGGTGATTGGTGGGGAAAAATCTCCTAATCATTTGCCCCTCACAGGTGGCACGTGACTGGTCACGTGTTACCTGTGACAGGTATCGCCCTGTAACAGGCGACGACCTGCTACAGGTGTCACTCGGCGAGAGGCCGAGAGATTCTCCCGCCAAAATTTTGAATTCTGGAAGTGACCCTTCGCCTTCTCACTTCGCCTATATAAAGGAGTGTTGACTTCGGTCATTTTCACACTTGAAAACTTCGTGAGAGAACATTCGGACCCCTGAACTTGCTCTGACATTTTGGACCCTTTCTGCCTACCGCCTGCTCTAACAAGCCGACTGCAAAGGATTTTCAGAATTTCATCAATCGTCACTCGTTCAGGTAACCGTCGGTTCTCTTACTCTTAATTTTCTCTTTACTTTATTCTTTTTTTGAAATGGCACCACGGAAGCACACGACACGACCTAGGTTAGTGATCAGCCGGTCACCGGGGACGGCTGAATCTAGGACTAGGAGTGTCGCCTGCCCTTTTCTGGACCCATCTTTGCCCTTTATACAAATTCCGACTGTATCTGTGTCTATGCAGAGCATGATGGCCAGAACAAAAAAGACTGCCAGGATCTCAAACTCAGACGGCTCCTCCCACAGGGTGCCGATTAGTGAAACATCTGACCAGGCGCCAGATGTGGAAGTGAAACAAAGCGGCTTGAAAGCCGGCAGTTCTGAGGGAGGAGTCAAAGTGACCCCTTCCCATTTTACAGTTGACAATTCTACATTCTCTCCTGCTCCTTTTAAAGGAGAGGAGGCGGGCCCCTCCGGGAGAGGGGAGGAGTCGTCCTCTTCGGACTCGTCAAAGGACGATTCCGAGTCTAGCTCTTCTGGCCATGCTTCTCTGGACACAGAAGAGAAAACAGTCGCCTACAAGAGGCGAGGCTTTCTCACGCAGTTGAGAAGGGGGACGATTGGGCGGAGCCATCCGCCTCTCACCGAGAGCAAAATACCCCTACTACTGCACGGTACCTCGGGGCCGGATCACAGCCATGCAAGAGAAAGTGGAGAGCTTTATCGCAAACCACACAATGGGCCCCGGCTTTTTAGTGTTCGTGCCGGATCCAGAAGACACAGTCGTCTGGCCGGCTGGTACCAGTTATGATGGCGCCTGCTTTGGCTGCTACGAGGCGGCCATCAAGGCTGGGCTACGCTTCCCACTACATCCGGCTGTTCAGCGGATCTTGGATGGGTATGAGTTGGGGTTATGGCAGTTAGCCCCGAACTCTTGGGTCAACGTACTCGGCTATGTGGCCGGGTGCGAACTGCACGGGGTGGAGCCGAACTTCGAGGCTTTCGCCCATATGAACTATCTCAGCCGAACCCCTAAGACAGGCGGTACCGGCTGGTATCAATTGACAAGCCACAGGGGCTACCTCATGACAAGAGGTAAAGCAAACAAGTGGAAGGACTGGCGGAGCACCTTCCTCATCATTGAGAGTTCAGACATTGAGCTGAACAAGCGCTTCAATAGGTGGAACAGGAATCCGCCCCTTCTTGCAGGCGGCCGTAGCATGCCGCCTGTTCCCCCCAAGGCTAAGAAAGAGATCCTTGATAAAGGACTCTTCAAAGTAGAGTCAAAGGTGAACTCTACTTCAGGGGTACGAGAGCAAGTACCCCTGCACTGCGTCCCGAGCTTCAAATGGCTCTACGACGAGTACTTTTTGGCCGCCTGTGGCCTCAGCAGTCGGTGCTCAAGAGGTAGCCGGCCTGTCGAATACTCTGTTGTTCCATTCATTTCTTGTTATGACTTTTATTAACTTTGCTATTTGTTTTTGCAGCGGACACCATGAGAAAAATTACCGCCTCCAAGACTGTGGCGGCCATGTTGCGGGCCTCCATCATGCAACAGTCTTCAACCGACTCCCCCAACAAGGGGGCACCCTTGGTGGGCTTCGAACCTTTCACCCTCTTTTTGGAGTTGTGTTTATGTATATACTGACTTTTTCTTCTTTTTTAGACGGGCGCTCCAAGAGCTTCTTCTTCCCAACAGCCGGACCCCAAGGCCCGGAGGACGACTGTTGCGAGCTCTCCTAGTTCTGCCAGGAAACATGCGGCGGCTGAGAAGCAGCCGGCCACTTCTTCTAAAACTCCAGCTGGGCCACCTAGAAGTATGAAATTATCCTTGTAATTTTTAGACTTGCTCCCTTCTTTACTAGGTCTAATCTGTTTGTTTATGCTTGATGCAGCCGGCCCTCAAGAGCCTGACTTGGTCGAGGTGGCCAAGTCTATGATCAAGGTCGTTCCTCCAGCTGAAAGGGAGGCGGTCAGGGGTGTCGGCACCCTTGACCTAGACGGGATTGCAGGGGTCCTTGCTGAGGTATATTTAGCATATTTTTGAGTATTTGAATTCCAGGACGCCTGTTTTCTTTTTTGTTTGGAAACTGACGCCTTTTCCCTTTTTTACTTAGGCCCTACTCCGAGTGAACGGCCTTCGCAAGCCGCTTGACCGGAAGAACAAAGAGGTAAAGGCTGCAAAAGCTATGGCCGCCTCTGACTGTGATAAGGCAATGTTTCAAATTGCCCAAAATGAAGTTCTGACCATTGATATTCTTTATTATCAGGCGCAGGCTACCGCCGCTATCCGGGCTCAGTTAGAGGCGGCCCAGAAGAGGAATAGCGAGCTGGAGGCGACCATCAACAACCTCAAGGCCGAGCTGAGACCTCTTCGCCAAAAGATGTCCTCATACGAAACCTTGGAGAAATCCTTGGCGAGCGTAAAGGTACGCTTGGTGACCCAGGAGAAGAGTCTTACTCAGGAGCTCTCGGAAAAGGCCGAGCAAGAAAAGAAAGAGCTGGTCCGGGAGATGATGGAAGACTCTGCTCAAATCCAGCGCATGACTTGGGGCCGCCTCTTCCCCAATGCCGACTTTGCCTCATGGGAAAAAACGTACCGCCAGTGTTCTGATAGATATAATCAAGAGATCCTGGCGGCTGCTGAGGAAGAGGCGTTGGAGGAGGAGGAGCAGCCGGTAGTGGCGCTTGTGCCGCTTGGGGGTAATGCATCAAAGAAGGATGCAGCTGAAGCCG